ATGATACTGATGATGGCAATTGGTTCTCAGTGGCCGGAATCAGGAATTTTTCTCTCCAAATTATATTTTTCTCAAGTTTGTCTTGGAGCGTGTTTTCTTCTCTGTGGATTGCGCACGACAACGGAAGAGCTTCTTGTAGCCGTCAAGTCGTACAAAGCTATCATCTGGGGAATTCTTACCATACTCTTAGTGGTCCCTATCACAGGAACGCAAATCACAAAAACCATACAGTTTGCGACAATGAGAGAGGATAACATGACCACCTCCCAGTCTACAGTTGTTGGAAATGTCACTGCAATTGGTCCCACTGAATTTGCTTTTGCGCTCCAAGTTTTCTTCACCGTGCCAGCAAGTATGTCTGGCGGTGCCATTCTTGTAAGTTACAAGTCTAAAAATGAGCATTTGTTCTTTCATGTCTACGCCGGAGAGCGAAGAAGAAATTTAAAAATGAGTTGTGCGCAATTTTCCATACAAGAGCTCTTCTGGGATCACATTAGTGAGGACTTCGTCATAACAGTTCAGTGCCTATTAAACCACCTTCATCATTTCCTTGAAATCGCACCAGAGGACTCTTATCTTTGAAAAATTTCGAAGTGTTTTTCTAAGATGGTGAACTGAACTGTGATCTATGTAACGGGGATATGAATTTTTTCTTATATGAACAGCCCTGATTACGGAGGGAACTTGAAAGGCCGCAGCTTGTTCATCTCAGTAACCAAGCTAAAAATTCAGGTGCAGGTTAAAAAATCGTCAGCGAGGCTGCCGGTTGATTTCTCACTCTGGTATACAAACGGAAAGAAATTCTTAGACGAACAGAAAACAAAGCTAATCGCGACCCGTTTTCTGAGCTCATATGAACAGGCCCTGGGTATACTTCGTCGGTGTGGAATAAAAGAATCTCACCTTCAAAGTATTTTATTATTCCTTCTTTTTTCAGTCCTTGCTAGCTGGAGGTAACTTTTCCCTTGCGATCTTACTTATGGCAATAACAAACCTTGCTGGAGTGTTTAGTGTGGCGCCTATGCTAGTCTGGATGACTGATCTCAGCAGTGGAGTAAATGTGACCAGATTTGGAAATATCATGATTGTATTTACACTGGTAACTGTGCTACCGACTATTGTAAGTATCATTAAGAAAGATAAGTATTTCACAAATAGGGAAAATGTTGGATTGAGTATCAAGAGCATGCCTTCAGGAGGGCTTAACGAACAATTTTTCAAAAAACTTTTCTTTCTTCTCCAAACAGCCAGCAAACAGTGATCCGCTATAGATTGCCAGTCTTGAATCTTAAAGGTCCCTTTTAAGAAACCACGACGGCGACGCCAAGGAAGACTTCGATTAAAAAATGAATTTCTACACTTAGTTAGAATTTAAAAAATGGCTGCAGGAGCTTACTGTCTCATACAGCGCCACAGCTCAACTTCAGCATGACATATAAAGTAGCCATTGAGTTCCAAATGGAATTAAAATAATTTGCCGTCGCGGTTTCGGTTCGCAGACGACGCAAATTTTGGCGATTTCACGTTGTTCTTTTGCATAGGACGGCCAAAAAAAGTACAAAGTTTCAAAACGCACGTGCTGAACTATTGTTCTGCCAATTAGATCTCTTGTTTTTCCACGTCCTCGTTGCCGTCGTCGTCGTGGTTTCTTAAGGTCCCTAGTGTTGCCAAGGGCGAAACCCGACCAACAATCTTTCATAGAAATAGAGAGCGAATATTCAATATTCAGTTCAGCCAATCAATTTATAAATATTTTTAAAAATCACCTCTTTGTGGGTGATGCGAAACGGGTATGCTGCGAGGTGTTGGGTCAAAAGAGAGGAATACGAGACTAGTACTCGTGCGCGGAATGTTACGTACATAAAAAGAAATCAAGCGAAAGCTGATTTAAAATTGTAATCACAAATACGTATATATGATATTTGCCTTTATCATGTTCTCTGGTTGCTACATTTCAGATCGGTAAGTTGCTGAGAATTTTCAATGCTGTTGCCGAAAAAATCGACTCGTGTAACAGAGGAATCCACTACACTGTTATAACTCTATTCCTTCTCTCCACGTGGCCTGAAGTGAGCAGGGCGCAAGTGCAAGAGAAGTTTAACAATATCGTGTCCATGAACGTTCTCATTATTGTTGGCTACTCCTCTATCATGCATATCATGTTTCTGCTGCTCAACTGGATCGCGGGCGGTTTTCTTAACCTTGCTCTGCCAGTTAAGAAGACAGTTGTGATCCTTGGAAGCCATAAGGCATTGTCGTTTGCTCTTAAGGTGCTCAAGTTCCTCTCGACCAATGTTGGCTCAAGGAGACTGATGTCAATCGTTTGTATAATATCGTATTTGACGCTTCTCGTCCTTGACTCAATCATCGTTTGTAAATGGGCCACAATTACTGAAGACGAGAAAGACAAGGAAAAATCTACGGCAACATATGGTACGATACCGCAAGAGAGCGACTGAGGACTGTGATTAAAAAATTCATTTTTGTCCTGGTTTTGCAAACCGCGCCTAATTTTTTTATACATTTGGGAACCACAAAAACATTCTTGTGATAATCGACACAAATCGATGAAATCGTAAATGAAAAAGAAAAACGAAAATGTAGCGATAATTTTAAGAGACACTGACGACATAAATTGCTCGTAAAATAACCCGAAACTGAGTGAAATAATCACCCAATCTAATGATCTACCGAAAACGACGGAATTTCTCGAGTACATGCGCGCAATGCATTCCGGTTGACTAGGATCCTTGAAAGGTTGTCTAACAATCATTTGAAATCACTAACTCTCAAATTGTTTGATAATCATGGCGTAACTTTGTTTTTACCTTTCTCGTGCCCAGTCTTAATCAGTGGTGAGCTATGGACTCCGCCCCACACTATAGCTCGAGGAGGTAAATGTCCCCGTTACGTAACAAGATTGCGGTCTTTCGCCTTACTTTCTTACGGACCCAGTTATGAAATATACTCAGCTTTTTCGGATCCCGACTTAAAGTTTTAAGTATTTCAGAAGACCGTACTCTTAACCTTGAGGTTTGGGAAGCTTCTCTTTCTCCAATATTTTGGTGGGTGCACATGCATACCTCTTAGGAGGCTCTTGACGGACATATGATTTGGGTAAATATTTACGTTTTGCTCACGGGGCTTGATTTTCAAATCCGGGATAATTTATTCTGCTTAGGAAAATCAGTGAAATAAAGTAAGGTTAAATATACATTTTATGTTCTTGGCATATTGTGTTTCGGTGCTATTTATCCGTATATTTTCCACAGGCAAGTAATCCAGAGACCTTTGGATTAAATTGTCCAAGAATTTTTTTATAAATCTATGTTTTAGAAGCCTACTAGCATATAGGCGCTCATTATCAGCGCTTCGTGACGAGCGTTCCTTTTCCCGAGGGAAAGTATGAGACCTTATGCTCGTCTTGTACCCAGACCTTCAACGGCCAGGCATTTTAGTTACAGTGACACGGTACGATCTGGGTACGGGGTTAGCCTTCTGTCACACTAGGCGGCGAGAGGTCTGAAAAGGGGTCTGGCACTGTAGCTTCAGCACCAACTTTTTTGAGACACGGACGGCAGCCGGATGTCAAAAGTTCTCATTATATTCCTGGTGCTCGATATACTTTCTTGGTCAATACTTATTATTTATTCCTCTTCCGGTTGCCGTCCGCGTCTCTAAAACGCCTCTGCTTAAGTTCTCTGATGAGGCGCCAGCCCCCGGCAGGCCTCTCGCCGACTCGTCTCAAATGTTTCCGCGAGCGGAGTAACACGCATTCCGCAGCGCTAATAATGAGGGCTTATCTCGTAACCAAACACTACCGTGCAAATGTTACTGAAACTTACAACCGCTTGAATGGTTGTACGCTTGGGCGGTCTGGCTACGAGCCTGCTCGCAAGCTCGTGTTTTCGAAGAGAATAGCCAAATAATAAAAATTCTTCATATATGTATCACGCTGGAGTTTTTTTCTGTTTTCTTTTAATTTTCCCCATATCTTGTTACTGCCTGTAATATTCATATATTTACAAGTTACGACTAAACTTTCTAAAAAAAACACTCTGTACATAATACGAACCAAATTTCTTTAAACTGGAATTTGGGAATTTAAATCGAAAAAAAAACTAATAAGTGTTTTATTCTAGATACCGTAAATATAACTGTACTGGTGCATCAGATGCAGTTGTGCATTAGTTGAGGTTAGTTCCCTCCTAAAAATAAATGTTAGCTAAGAACTAAAACAGAATAGTATTTCTGGTAGACAATAGCCAAGAGGTGATAATCTCTTGCAACAACTTGAAGAATTGGAATTGTTATGGAGTCATGGAGTCTCTATGATGCAAGAGGGGAGGGAGCCCGGAGGGGGAGGGGGGGAGGAAAAAGGAGGGATATGGATGGTTGGTCGTGTGTGAGGATTACAGGTATAATGACAATCTACTTGTAGATTCTTTTATTCCTTCGGGTTTCAAATCTTCAGGGTCTAATATAGGATAAAAATGACATTTATTTCTTTTGATCTGACGTAACGTGATGAAAAAGCAAACCAGATAACTTTTCATCCCTCTCTTC